ATATGCCGTTAAAATTATTTGTCTGTAGAATGCTATCCTCGGATAACTAGATCAGTTTTTAGATTTTTTAAACTCATTGCATTCCAACATTAAATTTAAAATGAGACTTCAACACAATCATGCACTTAACTTCCTGGATTTAACTACTACCATTTCTAACAATAAGCCCATGTGTAAAGTTTTAGTTCAAATCGCATTCATCAGTATAAACCAACAGTTTTTCCTTTCTTGGTACCCATAGAAAAATCAGACTACGCAAATGAAATTAACATAATTAAATCTATAGATGTTCAGAATGACTATGATTCTTAGATCATAGTTAATTTCTTTTCTCTTCATTTGTTTTTATTAATTGAAAAAAATATTTTCACAAAATTTACTTCACAATGCCAAAAAAATATGCCAGCATTCCATATTTTGGTTTAGTATTTCAAAGGCTTGCTCATTGCCTCAAAAAGAAACAAAATATTTGTGTCATATAACACCACTAATAAATTTAAAAAATCTATTCCCTAACAATAACGAAACGGTTCCCAAGGCAGAAAAAAGTGAAGAATATCAGCTAAATTGTAAGGACTGCAACTCTGTCTTCATTGGTCAAACTGGCAGGAAATTCTATTGCAGAATCAAGAAACATTCTCAAGCATGGAGATTACAACAAGAGGACTCTGTTGTCCTTTATCTCCTTGATAACAAACACACATTTGATCAAAATAGAAATTCCTCGAGTAGCATACAACCTATTATATAAGCGTCATTTACAGAGGCATAGGGCTGTTTGCGAACCTGTATCGTAGTATTTCCAATTTATCTTTCATCATTTACAAAGATTGGATTTTTATGCAGTATAAAATGTCAAAATATATCCTCAAATATCCACTAAAAAGTTAATAAATATGCAAAAATATGCTGTAAAAATGTAAAGTATGCACATTAAATTAGTGAAATTATGTAAAGCCAAACATACCAAGAACCGTACTAAAATAAATTGAAATTAATTTTGAATTAAATTAAATCATGTGATTTACGTCATAGTTTGGAACTACACAATGAAACACTTTGGTCATTTCTCACATGAACTTCAATTTGTGCTGGCGTACAAATAGATTGCAACTGATTGCAAGCCCAAAGCAAACTGAGAAAGTGAAGTGACAGAATAGTATATGTGAAGTGGCTGATTATACAAAATTGATGGTCAAAGAATATAATTTGAGTGGGCTCCTCTTTCAGTTTAGCTGGAGTCTGGGCTGTTGTTAAAGGTGTAACGTTTATATCATTGTTACTCAATTGTGATAATCGTTCCGTTGCAACACAGTTTATACTATTTAAGAAGTTAAAAGAAAAAGAAATTAATTCAAGAGATCTTAATCTGAATAACTTAATATTCACTATTAACTTTTCACCTTTAATAGAAACAAGCCTAACGGAAATAATAAATTATCCTTAAAATTTGCATTACAATATGCAACATAATCTAACATGACCCTGAAATGTTAATTTTTATGCAGTATAGCTCAAATATGCAAAAATGTGCAAAATTAAATTTCGAAATAAGCATCTAGGGATTCATGTTAGGAAAGAAAACCAAACTCTGGACCTCTACAACTAAGCAGAAAAATATAAAATTGCAGAAAATCTGGTCCCTAGTTTCATATTTTTCAATAAAGAAGTAAAGTAATTGAAGCAACTAGAATATAATACGATAAAATAGAATAGAATACAATAAACTGAAATAAATTAAGATAGAAACATAATTATTTTGATACATATAAAAAAATACAAAGAACAAAATTTATAATAAAATCAAAATGACAAGAAATACGAGGATGAATGCAAACTATTATTTGAATGGAAACATACTTATCAATGCAGCATGTAACATTGTTAAACATTTTATGACAGTACATAAATGATATTAAACAATAACAACTAGCATGTTAAAACTTCTGACACTATTGTAGAGAGTGGAGAAATAAATAGTGTGGGCTGGCAAATTAGTCATCCACATTCTTTTTTTTATTTTTATATTTTTGCTCAAATTACATTTCTGAAGTTCTGGAGGTAGGATATGGTTGTGATTGAAACTTAAGAAATAATGAGCAAGTCTTACAATTTCTTTATTGATCTTAGATATGTGGAGAAGCATTTTCAGGAAGAAATGCTTTAATGAGGATATGTTGTGCTTTTTATAGAATTGATCAGAAAAGTAATCAAAGCTTTTGTTGAAAATTACTTTAAGAATTTTTTTACATATCTTGTTCTGAAAGTACAAAGTTACATCATATGTGCCACCCCCACACCACAATTCCATATGAAACTACAGACCAGAATAAAGAATAATATTCATATTATCAGCAACTGTTTGCTCTTACATGTGTGTTGTAATTTATGAACTGTAAATTAATTATATTGATGTTTCTTTACAAGATAAGATATAATGACTTCTCCATTTTAGTTTACAAACAATAAATATACCTGTGTGTATTTAACTAATTCTTTTACACATTTTTCAAATTTCACTAACACTAATTGTAGCTGGTCAATTGTAGTTACCCACAGTACAATCAGGTTTATGAAAATGTATTGAAGTTTTGGGGTATGCTATTAATTTAACTGCCAAATGAAATTCATTTTAGAAATATTTAAACTCAAAAAAATTTCCCTTAAGCGTTTTCCAACTGTAGTAATTTTATATTCAGCCTCTTTGAGCATTGTGTGCCATGTGATACCTTCAACAATTAATACTGTGTCATCAGCAAAGGTTTCTAACTCTCCTTAATCTAAACTTTGAAAAGATCATACATGTAAGTAATTAATTTACAATAACAGGCTTGTGATAGTGCCCTGAGGAATCCTACATAGTACATGTAAATCTCCACTACATGTCTTATTCACTAGCTCGATCTGTTTGCGATCATTCAGTAACTTAGCAATAAATAATTTATTTTCCCTTTTTGTCCAGAGAGTGCCAGCTGTTCATTGCTAGGTATAAAAGTAGGTAAGCAGAGGATGTTTTCATCTATCGCTTTTCTTTTGATTTGATTCTTTTGATTACAAATGTAATTGCATTTTCAGTGCCTTTATTTTTTCGGAACAAAAATTGTTTTGTATTGAACTTCTGTTTACCAATGAAATCAGTTGTCCTAACTTTGTGTTTTTTCGTTAAGTTTGTCAAAATTAAAAAAAGAGAGAGAGAGAGAGAGAGATTGGTCAATAATTACTTGGATTTTTATTGTCGCCTATTTTAATAAAGGAACTACTGCTGTTTTAAAATTATTAGGAAAACTGCAGTTACAATGCTGATGTTAAAAATACATACTGAAACCTAAGGAATATAATTTGCTCTAAGGTTTACAATTCTAACATGTTATTTATACCAGATGACTTGTTTTTGTTCATGTTCTCAATAATTTTCACATATAGTATCTAAAATTATGAAACAAAAACACACACATACACGCTCATAGGCGAGTCACGTAACTTTAGCACCTCCTGTAATTTTTGAACGTCTGAAGTTATTGCAATGCAGTTTTCACAGAAGTGCATTAAGGAACGGGGCTAATTGATGTATGTAATATTTCTCATTTCATCACTATTATTTTACGAGATATTGAGGTTACTTTGTTGAAATGGAACTATTCATATTCTTTTAGTCTATCGTGTTGAGCGTAAAAAGACTAATACAATGATATGCATATTGTCATATGTTAGATAAGCATTTTTTGAGTAATATTTATTTTTCTGCGACTCGTATTTAACGAGTACTTTGACTGTAACAGTCCTCCGCCGAAGGTCACGCAGCAAATCCCTGCTAACGCGCTCTCAGGCGTATTGACCAAACTTAGATTCTTTAACGAGATCTTATCGAGTTATTTAGCCCACGGGAACGAATTAACCACTTCCTTCGCAGTTAGCTTGTTCTCATGTAGTAGCCTAAATAGGAAGTTGTAGGTAGAATAAATGACGAATGGAAATCTGTTTGAAAGAGCATTTTAGTTTACTCACAAACGACCCCTACAACACTTGACCTAAATCGTCGCATTGTTACACTGTGTGATATCGTTTCATCGAAAACATCTGCGTTCTGTTCGGACACTTAACAAGCGACTTCGCGCGAGTATTCCCGTTGTGTTTACGTGTGTGCAGAGATGCAGCTAAAAAGAACCGCAAACACCGATTTTAGGACCGAAAATTCGAGATCTTGTTTTTGAGGTAATCGAAATGCTTTCCCCTCTCTACTGTAGGGTATATGGAGGAAAAGTAATAGTTGCATCTCGTAGCTTAGAGACAGACTAAGGGCGTGGCTGGGGCTGTATTGTCTGCAAGACTTAGGAATAGCAACAGAGCGCATAACGCGCGTTTTCGTGTCCCGAACGCGCTGCCCCATAGACCGATTTGCATCGCATTGCAATGGTTTTGCAGTGTGTGCCTCCTTGGTTTCCTCGCGGTGGTGAAATCTCTACATTTCTGAACGTGTGTGTTATGAAACACATTTCAGTATAGCTCCGAACACGATTCTTCTCTCTCATAATGGGATTAAGAAATCTATAAGGTTCTGTTTCAAATAGTATATGTGTGTCGATAACCCTGCCAATAAGTAGACTTGTGTATCTTATGTGCCCCTCACGTAAGTTCCTTTTTATTAAAAAACGCATATTAATATCTGTATTAGTTCAGGAACTACTAAAGGGAAACGTTTTCTGCGAGCTACATGAACTGAAAAATGTGTGGGTTTACAAAACGTTTTTCATTTGTCTTTCAAGAGTGGGCTATCATTCTTCCCTGATCTCTTCCGTTGTGCTTTCTGTAACGGTCGAAAGAATCTTGCGCGGGGGGAGTTTTGAAATGTTGAATAAGAGCCATTCAGCATTGCATCTCACCTCTTGCATCTCATTTTAAACTGTCTATAAATGCCAGCACGTTTGCGCTAGTACACTTTGTCACCTTCAAAGTAGAGCTTAACAACAGAACTGATGAAAATTATTTTGCTTCACTTTCAGGAACTTTGCTGTTTCGGAATGGACTTAAAGCGGGTGTGCGGACGCACTGACTTGCTGGAGACGAGGTATTTATTTGCTTATTAATTTTTATTAACTTATATCGATTTACTTAACGCCAAGATAGTAAAATACTGTGACGTTTGGGAAAGCGTATTGTCTGCAGATTTTCTATAATATGTTCTCCGTTTTACTATTAGTTAAATTATAAATAACTGTTGAAAATGGCATTTTTGAGAAAATGTGTAAAATATTCGTTCCCAGATTTTGGCTTTTACCTCTCGTGTTCTCATTTTTGGGAAACGACACCATGAGAACACGGACAACGATAGTTGATAACGATGAGGGTACTGTTGACGAAATAACTGAATTTCCCACCAACAAAGAAATCAAAAATACCCAGACAGTGAAGCTACATTATGTCCAATTGCAAAACAAGGGACCATCTCATCAATTGATCAAATTGTCAAGGAAAACTGAACGATCATCAATATAAAACCTCAAGTACAACACTTGTTACAGAGATACATAAGTCTTAGAAATTACACAATGCAAAATTGCTAATGCATTTATCATTCTTAAGATAATTGCCGCCTATTCAACTAGGTCAGAGATGGTTACAATCGCTCCAGTTATATATAAACAGTTTCGTAGCATAAAATATAGCGCGCATGTCTCTCCGCAGTATCACCTTGCTGTTTGCAACAAAAATTATGTTGGTAGCAGCGTGTGACAAAAGAAAACGTGAAATACCGCGCTCACCACAATCATAACAGATGCTGGAAGTGAAGTCGTAGGCTTCCGCGGCCAGAGTCTTGTGGGTGATCTGGGCTGTCCGGGTGGCGCCGCGTCGAAGGCTGAGTTGCCTTCCTGTCGTGGTCGAAACGTCGGCAACTCAGCCTTCGACGCGGCGTCACCCGGACAGCCCAGATCACCCAGATGCTGGAAGTGTTGTCCCATTCGCTTGTTTCGCAGCTATGTTTGCTAACATCATTGCCATTTTCATAGGAAACCCTGTCTCTCCCCAGTGCGCAGAGACTTTTTGATGTGTAATGCGCGTTCATTGTGTAGGGGCGAGGGAGGTGAGGAGACCGCGCCTCCGCCAGCAGCGGCGAACGCAGCGCCGGTCGTCGAGGAACGCCCCTCCACGCTGAGCGCTACGACCCGGTAAGTGCTCTCTCCGGTTTGCTCTGCGCTTGTGGCAGAACAAGTTTTAAATTTGGCTCTCTGCTTTCCCGATTAGCATGAAGTTCTTACGCACATTTTGAGGCATAAATCCCAGATCTCCGAGAAGTATCGGGACGACTTATGCTTTTACGCTCCACATTCGGATCTTGATTTCCAATCTATTGTATTTGGCACGCTTCTATGCCTCCTTCATTGCATGGCACAGCAGTATCTACTAGTAGACTCGTTTTTTTACAAATCCCCGATAATAATGTCTTGTTGGTTTGCACATGGCATTTTTGGGAAATATATCGAATTTACTCATTGTAAACGTAGCCTCCTGATTCGTAGGCATCTTGTGGTGCACTGCTTTTTGGAAAGTACATGTTATGACTCAATGATTTGTGAGTCTGCGTTTCTTCTTACACGGTAAGTTACTTTCCATCAGAGGCAATCGTCACAAGTTTATATGAGTTCATAACGAGCTATACTAGATTTCTCCCTTGTTCACTGACAAGAAGAGATACTATTCTACCCGCTAAAAACCCGTAGAGGCCAGCAACATGTATTTTGAGGCTTGTATTGAGAGGATGTGTTTTCTTGTGTGGTGCAGCGTATTGTGGGAGGCGCCGTCCTTCACCTCCCAAGACTCTGCCCCCGGAGAGGTTTTCCCGGCGGCGCTGCCCTCCGCGAGCGGCCACTCCGCCGCTGCCCAGCTGGGCGGCGCCCGGAGCGCGTCTGCGCCGGCGCTGCAGTGCATGGAGCGCCAGAGTCCGCGGCCCGGCGTCACGCTGCCCGTGGCGGGCGGGCGCCAGCTGCGGCTGACGAGCTCGACCCCGAGCCTCAGCAGCTTGCCGCTCGGCCCGGGCGCGATGGCGGGGGCCGAGGCGGGGACAGAGGCGGGGGTCGAGGCTGGAACAGTGGCAGGCAGCTCACCATCGCAGCCAAGCGCGCCGGCAGGCGCTGCCAGTCCAGTGGCCGCTCCGCCCGAGACGGCACCGCGCACCCCGCCCCCGCCACCTCCCCCGCCGGCTCCGGCGCCCCAGGCATCTCCCCGCGCCCAGGGAGAGCCGGCACAGCAGGGAAGTGGAGCAAGACAGTGCAACCACTAACAAGATTTGAAACTCGATTTAGCCAGTTACCCGGATGTGAGACGACCTGATTTTGACACTGCGACGCAACCGCGTGACGCGACGCAACGCAACCACGCGGCGACCACGAGACGGCGACGCAACCACGCGGCGACCACGAGACGGCGACGCAACCACGCGGCGACCACGAGACGGCGACGCAACCACGCGACGACCACGAGACACGACGCAACCACGAGACGCGACGCGACGCAACGTAACCACGCGACGACCACCAGACGCGACGCAACCACGAGGCGGCGACCAGATATTGAGACGGAAGTCCTGAACGTGTGACGGACGTCGTGACTACAATACGCTCAGGACCTATCCCACCACCAACTGCAATACTCAGACCTTTTATTTTTTTTTATTTTTTTAAGTCAAAAACAGTTAAAACACTATGTGACGTGCTACGGAGAGAAGTTAATTCACGTGTTCATAATAATTCTGTGATCCCTATCCGAAGCCATATACTACTTGAACTTTGAATACAGAAAGAAATTAGGGTTTTTTGGAAGGATTGTGAAGAGAATGTTCGATATAATAAAACCTACTTTCAAAGGCAAATCAGCAATAGATTTATGCTCTTATCCCTTATCATCTCGTTTGAGAAGGAATTATACCTCCTGCCATAACAATATGGAGAAGGAATGTTTGAATAACTATTTCCTACCGAATTCTAGAAGATTGAATTGAATTGAATTGAATTGGCCTTATTTTACGTGGCGAGACTCGGGCCATCAGGCCCGCTCTTCCGTCTGACCACGCAAATTTCGCTACGCTCCTTTCACCAACTAGAAGAGAAAGGAGGTATTTCTTGGGCGAGAAACAGGCGATTTGAATTTAGCTCAGAGGCGTCATTTAGGCTTGAGGATCTTTTACATGCAAGTAAATCTACGAACATGGGCTTTACTTCCCCTCCGAAGGAAGGCGTACGAAGGATTTCTTCGCCCTTAAAAATCCACGGCTTTGATCGGGTTCGAACTTGGGTACAACAGTTCGGTACGCTAACCGTTACACCATCGCCGCCGCTGATTTGCACAAATAATGAAATTACTCTGTCAAGGAGCCAAATCGATATTCTAATAATGAACTGATAATTTTAATCATGTACCACATTCATTATTTTGGTACATGATTAAATATTGTTCTAAAGCCAACTCTAAAACTTGAGTTCTTTGGCCATTTTATGTATCTTCAACATTTGAATAGTACAGTATTTCAGTATTTTCAATATTTTAAACATGTAATCAATTTTCTGTTTATATTTATCTCATGATTTTGAACATTTTTTGTAAGTAAATGTATCGGTACATATTATTCCAAATAAATCTCAGGCCTGATTATTAAATAAAGTGTATTTATAATTTTTGTGTTAGAACGCGAAAGGATGTAGGTATTGTAATGGCTTAAAGGCCTTCGGCCTAGCCACATAGGATCAAGTAAGCTAATTTGTCTGTAATAATTACCTATTAAATAATAAATAAATAATTTTTGTGTAACATATAAATGAAATTTCATTGAAAATGGATAGGAACATATATCATCACTTATTACTTTTGTTGTTGTAATGCTTATTATTATAATTTTTATCTCTTATTTTTATTGTTATAAATATATTTTGTGCACATTGGTCTGTATTACCTGTGATTATTACTAAATGATTATTGATGTTAAGTATGTACAGTATAATTGTTATTGAAGTCGGATTAGGTTGTTGGTCCTTTGATTGTACTATATATCGCAGAGAAAATTTTTGGTCATATGATGTACTATGTTTTACTCTGACAAACCTTTTTTATGGGTTTGTAATTCCTATTATGCATTAATGATTTCTTATACTGCATACTTGTTGCTTTTAAAATTTATATAGCAGGTTTTTTGTAAATTATTTTTTTATTATCTTTGCTGCCTGATGATGGGAATAAAATGAAATTCTTGACATTGTTAATGTAGTAATCTGCAATAAAAATTAATAAGTTTTTTTATCAGTAAAATAATAATTAAGCCATCCTAAATAATACAAGCTAAGAGTTTTCTCTGTTGTATAACACTATGATTGAACTTGAATTATATTTTTACTGTAGAATGTGTTGTTATTATTTTTACCAACATGTATTGTGAGCTAAGTGTAAAAGTCTATATCTGAAAATTTTTGAAAATAGAGAGGAACTTTTCAATTATATTCACTGAACCCTGTTTAATTTTAATATCCCCCTTTTTAGTAGATGTAGAGGGGAAAAATCACACTGTGTAAGACTACCTTAGTGGATGTTTCATTAAGCATGAACATATTCATTAAATACATCTCGCAATTGAATAATCAGCTTACTTTTCCTAGAGCTCTGAGGCTAAAGTGAACATTAACCAGATATCCAAAATGATTCATTCATCGCCAATCACTTTATCCGTCTTATATATCACTCTTATACCGTCTTTCTATATGTAAATTAACCAGCTGATTAGCCAATTACATCTTGTCTAATATGATTAGTTTATTATCATTCACACAGTTTTATCCAATCTCTCCGTGAATTTGTCACATTTCGGACTCGTCACTTAACACACATATAATCATCCATGTCCGTAGATACTTTCTTCCAAAATGTCTGGTAAGTATGTATGCAGTGGGCTTGAATTTATAGGGATGGGGGTCATGAAGGTTGACTGCTTTGAAACATTGTAATTGGTGATCAATTCAGTCTTGCTTTTTGAGAAATGTTCAGCATGAAACTGTTTTCTGTTCAAAAAGCCTAAATATAAATAATGTCGAGCATGTATGCAAGATCAGCAGTTTGATGTAATTTAGATTATTATGCCTTCTTTTCAGAGATGTATTCAAAACCAAATACTTTCATGCTGCATTTCATGAAAGTTAATTTTGCATTGGGTAGATGACACTCATATTAAATGTTTGCAGAAGAAAATTGTCTACTTTGGAACAGTTTGTGTTTTTCCTTACATGCTGGCAAAAGAGATAAATCAAAATATTTCTCCAAGCTGTAAAATCAGTGTTGTACAATTATCCAATATAATATATTTTGTTCCTCGTAAACAGGAATTGAAAATATTTAATGAGTTCAAATTTGGACCACAGCTTGAACCTTGGCACAAACCCAATTGAAGATTGATTCAAATGAAGTCGGGGGTGACTGTCCTGAATGCTGCAAGTCTCCATGCTTTCAATCTTCCCAATTGACTCTGGGTTGTGGGTTTCTGCTTTTCCAAGTATCCAGTTGAAAACTAGGAACCTTCCTTCGAAAAGCAGGGGATGGTGTATATTCATGGGATGCATGGAATAGCATGGATGGAATATCATGGATATGCATGGAATGGTATATTTCCGAGATAAAAGAAAGCGTTTGCCCCACCGAGGCCACTTCTACATTGTTTTGGAAGATGCTGCTTGTGAATAACAGGAAGCTTGGCTCTTTCCATATGTAAGTTATTCTTATTTGTGCTATTGGATTTATAATGTCATTAATATATTCAATGGCATGCTCATGGCATATTTATCTTTATGTGATTTTATTGCTAAGGTACTGTAGAAGAAGATGATTTGTGGAAGACAGTTTAAATATATTCAATAGAAATACAACATGAATATGTCTGTCTGCAAATTTGTTCGTATACTAAGAAATGTACATATATTGATGTTTGAAAATAAATATCCTTCTAACCCAAGGTTTCTAATGGGGTTAGTATCAATTGTGTGGTGGTCAATGGAATTTTGAAGGGGGTCGGTGATGATCCAAGCGTCGACTAGGGGGTCTATTACTGAATATAAATTGGGGATTGATAGGTATATCCAAGATTATATTCATTACAAAAAAATGATAATTAATTGTTTTCTGATGTAGAGCAAAACTCAAAAAGCAAATTCTCTCTCTTCTTTTCTATTCACCATTTGTGCTCATGGCATGCCTAGTTACAACCCTTACCTAAGCTGGCCTTCCCTAACTTAGCTATAGGTAGGTTGCTGGTGCACGGCAAATAAGATACCCTTATTAAAGGCCATTGTGGATGGATATCAGGATAGATATTACTAAGTGTAGTCCATTCTTATTTTTTCCATTTCACAATCATTATACCAGATTGATTCTTAGATTTAAAATTCTTTCACCTTTTTCAGAGATATAGCGCCCGGTCTAGCTACACTGAGAGGGGGGGGGGGAATAAGAACCTTGTTATACAACTGTAAGATGTGTAGAGTGCTTAACAAATTATAACTAAATATGTATTCACAACGATACTGTATCGCAGAAGAAAATACTCCCCGTTCTATGCATTGGAGAAATGTTATGGTCAATTAAAATCCCTTAACTTGTAACCATTACACAATAACAAAGTTGAGAAACGCAACTACTCAGATGCGAAAGTCTATGATTATTGAGATTCTAGGTATTTACCAAAATATTGGCTTACAAAAAGATTTTCTGAGGCATTTATGTGCAGTATTTTGAGTTTTAATTAAGTATGCTCTATTGTAGAGAATATAAAGGGTTGATGGAGCAAACAGTTATTTGAGAAAGAAAATGTTTGGGAATCCCTGATCCACCCTAATCTCCCAATCTCCCAGATTTCTCTTACGGTGTCCTTAAAGTTGCATTCTATGATGATAATTTAAATTCTGAAAATGGTTCTTTTTTAGCTTTTGTGCTAGATTTGAAAATTCTCAAATACATTATGATGTACCTAACAAATTGAGAGTATGGTATGTTAAAATTCTCATCTGCAAATATGACTGCAGTAAGAGATTTTCTACCTGAAATTTAATAATCATAAGCATCAAGTAAATGTCTGAATTTGCAGTTGCTATCGTTACCTTGCAGTTGGTAGCGCTAATTTGTCACATTTTTACACGTTTCTGATGTATATTTTACACATCAATATGTTTTTGCATAGTCTTACGGAAGTTCTTAAAAGAACTTAGAAAGCACTAAAGGTTCCTCAAAACCAAAAATTGTGTATGCAGCGAA